TTAAGTTTGTTGCAAGCGCCTCCATAATTATAACAAAAAGGAATGGGGCCAACGGATCACCTTGTCTCACCGATCTTTGCAGATTGATCGGTGGCGCCAGGTTGCCATGTTGTTGCATTATTATGCAGGATTTGCAGGATTTTTACCCATCGTCTGAAGCATGGTCCGAAGTTAATTTTTTCCAGACATCTGTCCAGGAACGTCCCGTCCACGTGGTAATAGGCCTTCTCAAAATCAATAAAGATGATTGCAGCGTTCCTTTTAGACTGCCTTGCTAACTTGATCACCTCATTGACTAGAAGGATATTATCCTAGATGTTCCTGCCCTTGATAAATCACGTTTGGTCTGGGTGGATAATATCTCTCATTACCCTGGTCATCCGATTTGCCAGAGCTTTAGCCATCATCTTGTAAACCACTGTAAGGAGTGTGATTGGTCTGTAGTTCCTTATATTTGTTGCTGCCCCTTTTTTGTACAGGAGTGTTGGGACCCCTTGACCTACGAATTCCCCTGTTTGGCCCATCTCCCACATCGCACGATAGAAGTCCATCAAGTCCTGTTAGATATTCTCCCACATTACCTCCCATAATTCTTTCGGTAGCCCGTCAATGCCGGGGGTCTTTTCCTCTTCCATGAGCACCAGTGTTGTCCATACTTATTCTTTGGTGAGAGGTTTTTCTAGGAGTTCCTTTTGTTGGTGTGTTAGTGTTCTGGTGAGGGGGCACAAAAACTCATCGATTTCCTCCAGTTGCTGTGTCTCTCATCGCAAACCTTCACAATTTCAAGACGGAGATTTTGTCTAGGTTAAGTCTAAAGAGTTTTCCCTAGAAGAAAATGTGTCTCAAAAACTGTTGCCTGTCTAGTATGGACCCTAGGAAGTTCTCAAGGTGATTGGGGATGCAAATGGACTTCCTACCAGATCGATGTACCCCCACACCTAAGGACCTATTATATCTTCCACGCGTCTAAACTGCTACCATAGGTAGAGGGAGATAACTTCCCTTACAGGCCATCTATGTTCCCACCCTCCATCATTGGAGGATATGAAGTTGAAAAGATTTTGTAACATGGCTACTTTTCTGCAGGTGGCAGAGGAAGACCACAAAAGCAGTACAAGGTACAGTTCAAGTCTCAACCTTCGTTTAAAGCTAGATGGTTCAGTAAGGAAGAACTGTTACCTACTGCTCCTGATATTGTTGCTGCATATGAACGCGGATTAAGAAAAGATTAATGTGTTTTTTGCGATGAAACTAAAAAATTGGGCCGGCAGGAATGCAATAACCCATTCATTATGCCTCGTTGAATGGCTAAGGGCCCCACTGGCCGCGACCCCGACTTCTGGTCGAGAGGTCAAAGGGGCAGAAGGCCCCTTCGAAATAACCGAGGGCCTGAGCGCTCGACAGATGACTTTGGTCAACTACCTGAGGCCCGACAGTCAAAGTCAAGACAGACCCATTCCAGGCCGCCGGTCAGACACACTCACTTGTTTGTATGCAGGTACCAAGACAGCATCTGGACCAAGTGGAAGTCTGCAACTATATGCAATCCAAGCCCTCGGCTGTGAGTCAATTTGAGCCTCCGTGGGTGGGAGACCTGAGGCCGGCCTGCCTCGTCAAACACTATATAAGACTTGGTCTTCAGGGAGTCAACATTCAGTCTTGCTATGCTGCCTTTACGTTGGCTCGACGCTGGCTTGACGTTGGCTCGACGTTGGCTCGACGTTGGCTCGACGTTGGCTCGACGTTGGCTAGACGCAGGCTTGATGCTGGCTGTGCGCTGGCACTGTGGACGACGATGCAGGACCGAGGCTACATGCTGGCGCCTTCTCTGTTGTAGCGCCAGCCATTGCTGATGTGGCTCATGCCACCTGTCTCCATTGCTGATGTGGCGCATGCCACCTGTCTCCATTGCTGATGTGGCACATGCCACCTATCTCCATTGCTGATGTGGCGCATGCCACCTGTCTCCATTGCTGATGTGGCACATGCCACCTGTCTTCATCGCTGACGTGGCACTGGCCACGCTGTCTACACTGGGTGATTGGTCGTGACAAGAGGGAGATTGGGTCTGTGGATGATTGATTGGGATCGGGATACTTACCTGAGGTTGACGTCGATACTGTGCGCTGCTGGTTGTCTCCATTGTCCTCAAGAGGGAACAGTGACACATGGCACTTCTATGTGATCAGGACTTGTCAGACTCGTTACTGGATATTGTGTAATGACGTGGAGGCGAGGGGAAGCCCGGAGAAGGAGTAAGTAATGTTGGGCTACTCTCTTGGTGGTCATCGACATTGATCTGAGTTGAGTTACTCGGTACTTCGACATCTGGCGAGGATGGGTTCATTCCATTTTTTTCTCAGAGGGAAAAAAAATCAGTTCTTCATTGTGATGGATGCTGCTTGACAACTTTGTTATGTGCAGGACTGATTCACAACTCTAAACCGCATTCAAATGTTGTTCCCATACACATCTGCAATGGCAGGCAGACTGGAGAGAGAGCAGATTCACACCTTAGCCATGGAGACAGACTGCACAGCGGAAGCCAAAACCAGATACAAAAATTGAGAGGAAAAAAAAGTTTCAATAAATTATTTATGGACCCCCCCTGCTCTCCTCCTCTCAATCAGACAACCCCGAAAATCTCAAACACGAATTTAGTTCCACCTCCAATTAACCCCCGACGCTACACTTCAACGAAGTGTCAGTGAAACTTCCCCTTCTCCCTACGACCTTCAGCCTCCAATGATAGCCCATTGTCGAAAAGGAGCATCCGATCATGCCCCGAGCCCGTGAGTACAGGCGCTGATCTGGCATGCACCAGATACCAAGTCCCAGCGCCGCCGTGAAGAAGAAGGTGAACCTCGATGAAGAAGATGATGGTTGCCCTGGTATGGCAGCAACGAGCAACAAGCCAGCGTCCTTCAACCCCCAGAAACGGCAACGTGATGGCAGTGGCATCAGCACCTGGAAGACCTCCTACAGGTGCTGCCTCCTCAAACAGCAGGGCGCCCCAGCAACGGCTGCCCAAGTTCCCCCTTCGAAGAGGAAGAAGACTGAGCGGTAGAAATAGTGCCGCTCACGTACTCCCCGTCTCCACTTCCAAAAAAAATGAGAAAAGAACCCGAAACTTGTTGGCCTCTCCCTACTTCTACCCGCCGACTTCCCTAGACCTGCAACACAGCAGTCACCTACGAACCCATCTGACCGTCGAAACAGCAAACACCCACCGTCAAACAGTCAAGATCTGCCTACATGCATCTGGATGGAAATCTAGACTACGGGGACCCAAGACTAAGACACACACAAGGGAGACCTACATGCCTACCAGTTTCCAGAAGACCAGAAAAGGACAAAACAGCAAGGCTGAAGGGCCTAAGCCTGCCAAATAGAGACTGCTAGCGACAGGTTCACGGGTCAAGCCCAGTAGGACTCAAAGCTAGTAAGAAAGGCCTACAAACTGTAGGTCACGGGATCAAGTCCTAAAGGGCTCAAACCAGGGGAACAGCAGACAAAACTTAGTGTACAGCCCGCGTGAGCAACTGCGATTCATTGCAACTTGATGATGTCAGATATGTAAGGTCTCAAGACTCTCAAGAGTCTCAACACATGAAAATCCTATTTTACAATAACTGCAACAGAACCCCATGGATTGATTTCCATGTCCCAAACTGGAGGATGCGAGTCGGGGATTGGATTGTGTGGTGCCGCAACTCATTGAGACACTCGTTCTTCTGGTCCCTTCATTTCTGGTCCAAATGCAGTTACTGTACCACTGATTGAGACACTCTGGTCCCGGTGTAGTCCCACTGGCATTCTTGTTCCATCAATTGTCTGCCAGTGTCTGCATTCCTGACATCCTGGCCCGATCATTTCATTTTTACATATAATATTATATGGTCATTGAGGAATGGCAGGTGAACCATAGGCAGAGACTCTGAGGGAGAAGAGGACAAAAAACGGGGGCTGTGACAGACTATTTCATCGAGTTTCACCGACTCATCAGGAGGCTGAACCCTCTACAGTCTGTCCTCATACATAACTGCCCCCTCCACAGTCTGTCCTCATACACAACTGCCCCATCTACAGTCTGCCCCCTCTACAGTCTGTCCCCTCTACAGTCTGTCCCCTCTACAGTCTTTCCCCTCCACAGTCTGTCGTCATACATAACTGCCCCCTCTACAGTCTGTCCTCACACATAACTGCCCGGTTATCTGTAGGAAGAGAGGAAGAAGAGACAAAAAACAAGGGGCTATAACAGACTGTTTTGCTTGAGTTCCACCGACTGACTCATCAGGTGGCTGAACCCTTTACAGTCCACAGAGTCGCCTAGCCAATGATACGGTAAGTGATAACCCCAGCTATGATTAAGCATCAAAGACTGTCCTGCTCACATAACTCCAGCATATACGTGCAGTCAAACGGATTTACAGGGATTCATTTCCTTCCTCTGTGACATCAACCGTCTCAGAGTCTGCAGAGCTTCTCTCGTTGTGACTGCTTACACGGGGCCCGGCCCGGAGTGAGAGTAGTAATTGGTATAGTAAAGCTTCTAGTCCATGAACATATTGGAGTCACAGTTGTATTACATATCCTTCATACCCCCCCCCTCCCTTCCCCTCTCCTTCCCCTCTCTCATTTACGGCTGCACTGTTGTCAGTAGTCGCTCAAGCTATGTACCACCAAATATTTAACTTGGAACAAAATGGGAGTCCTACTGACTCTCTGGTCCCGCGATTGGTGGTCCCGATGTCAGGCAGCTGTATTGGTCTACGACTGTGCGATGTCCGTTGTACATAATCGCCATCTTCAATTTGATTTTTTGACACCCTAACACGGAAGCCAGTTCAAGCCACTAGACATCTCAGAGTCCGTCTTCCACTCCAAATCTCTCCATCTCTGTGTGGTTTCTCTTCTCTTGTGTAACTGCTTACACGAAAGTGACATTTCTAATTCGTATTATAATAGTACAAGCAAGCTTCTAGCACATCTAATTCTTCTTCACCTAAAAGACTTTATCCACCTCATCGATCTTTATGATCAGATCATCGCAACACTCAGTTATTTCCAAACTTCCAAAGTACATTCACACCTCAAAGTTTCTCGTTCACCTCCACTGCCTCTGCGACGACTACCTTGAGCGCAACTCCCCCCAGCACAGGAAGAATTCCTACACCTTCTTCCATCATGTTGGGGCGATTGTGTCTATCTAGGCTGACACACCTTAACCCCAACTTCGCCACTTCCTTTGCCAGCTCAACATTCCAAGCCCCTGCATTGTGGTCCAAGGCTTTTTCAAAAGCCACTGCATCCTCCTCCCCCTCCTCCATAGCGCATTGGATTACCCCGATTGCCCTCCCAAACTTTCCAGTCAGCATCTCCAAAATGGTGACACCAAGCGCATACACATCGGTCTTCTCGTCGAACACCTGCGACTGCCACAATTCTGGGGCCACATACTGGGCATTGGCTTGTAGGAACAGGAATGTCGAATGTGAGCCCTCATCCTCGGATCCTTTTGTTGACTTTTGTTGGACACATTTTTCTGGGACGAGCAGCGCCTGATCGATGTCACCAATCTTGGCCACAAAGTTGTCATCCAAAAAAATGTTTTCTGGCTTGATGGCACAGTGGATAATGGGACTGCCATTTGCCAATCGACTCGAATGAAGGAAGTGCACCGCTCTGGCAGCGTCCACCATTGTTCGAAAGCGAACATGCGAGGGCATGAATCCTGGTACGGTATTCTCCGCATTGCCAATCTGTTCCTTCACGCTTCCGTTCCGCATGTGCTCGAACACGAGACAGCCTCCTCCGTAGCAAACTCCCAAGAGCGTTAATAAATGGGGGTGATGTAGTGTGTGCAAAATATCCACCACCTCTGTCTTAAACTTGGCAGAGTGCATCTCCTGCATACATGACAAGGTCCCGGATTTCTTTACCAAAACCATTGTACCATCGCATAGTTTCCCTCTGTAAAGACATGATCCCTCATGACTGCCGCTGCCACACTTGTTCGATGCATCAAAGTTGTTCGTTGCATCCCGGACCTCTCTCAACGAATATTCTCGAAGAGGCTCTTGCAGAGAAAGCTCTTCAGCAAACCTTTGCGCCAGTTTCTCGATCCGTTTGTCAGATTTCTCTAATTTCTCGAGGAGTTCCGCTCTCTCGCACTCGAGCTTCTCTGCAGCGGCTTTCAGTTCTGCAGCTTCTGCCTCCATCTTGTTCTCCAGTTTCTCAATCCTTTTCTCAGATTTCTCCAGTCTCTCATTCACTTCAGCTCTCTCGCACTCAAGCTGCTCAGCCCTCCGCACTGACATTTCAAGCTTCGTCTCCACAACTTGAACGGTCTTTAGTTCTTCAGCTCCAGTTCCGGACGTGTCCGCCTCCGTCCCCAGGGGCTGCTGCCTCTCCTTTTGGGCCTTTTCTTTTGGCTGATGATTGGCTGTCAGTTCCTCGATCACTCTCTCGCACTCCATCTTTGTCTTCTCAAGCTTGTCGAAAAGTGCGGCCCTTTCGTCCTTCATGCTCGTTCCTTCCGCCTCAAGACTCTGCACCAGTGCCTTCAAACTGTTCACCACTGACTCCAGCTTCCAGACCCTCTCTGCTTGGCCTCTCTCCTCCTCCTGATGCTGGGCTCTCAAGTCATCGATAATTTCGCTCTTGCACTTCACTTTCATTTTGCGTACGACATCTCCGATTCTTGTCTCTAGTTCCAGCTCTGACCTCGCAAGCTTCTCTAGAAGTGCAGCTCTCTCATCCTTTATGCTCGTTCCTTCCGCCTCCAGGCTCTGTACCGCTGCCTTCAACCCGGTCACCGCCGACTCCAGCTTCATCACCCTCTCTGCTTGAGTTCTCTCCTCCTCCTTACGCTGAGCTCTCAAGTCGTCAATAATTTCGCTCTTACGTTTGAGTTCCATTTCCGCTACAACATTTCTGATTTTTGTCTCGAGGTCCAGCTTGGCATGCGCTGCTTCCTTTTCCCGGTCCTCCATCCTTGTCTCCGACGCCCATGTTTTTCTTCCTTCCTCTACCTCCATCACAGAAAACTTTTCCCTACCAGCAACGATGAGCAGATCAGACTGTCTGCAGAGAGCCATGCCTTCAAGAAATGACGATTCACAGACATAAGATGCCACCAGCTGATAGTCCCTCTCACTCCATACTCGAATTTCTCCGTCAGATGATGCACTAAAGAGGTAAGGCAATCGTGGATGCAGAAAGGCTGACTTCACATCCCTAGAATGCCCGGTCAGCTTGGCAAGGCAAACTCCTCTTCTGAAGTCGATGACGCTTACTATGGCTGGAGTTGGGAGATATTCACTCTTCGAGCTGTGTGCTGTAATCAGCAGTGACTTTTTCGAGAATCGGCCACAGAATTCAACCATTGTCACAATTGAATTACGTTCTGTGTAGAACCTCCTAACAATGGACATGCTCCCAAGATCCCATATCGTGATGGTGCTGTCATCTCTTGCGATTGCAAAGATACCCGACTCTATTGGATGAAATGCCACTGCAGTTACTTTACCGCGATGATGCATGAGCTTAATCTCATCCCGACTCTCCCGCCAGTCCAGTAAAATGACATCATACTCGTTAAACGTTAGTATGTAGGGTAAGCTCTCACGGACAGCCATGGATCCATAAACAAGTTTAGAAGCTGGCGATTGCTCTACGCGTGTTATGTGTTGCCAGTTTGAGGATTTCAGTTCATAGATGTCAAAGCGTCTGCGAGAGTAATTCTGCACCACAATCCACTGGCAGTCTCTCTGCATCAGAAATTTTGCATCACCAACTGCCTCTTGAACTTCCCCTGAGGCGACCTGTGTCCCATCTTCATAGTTCCAGACTTGGATCAGGCAATAATTAGTACGAGTGCATAGAACCCATGGCTCATGAGGGTGCACATCAATCTGCAGAGTCCGCACTACATTCGGCATAAGCCTTGAAACGTCAGGCAAGGTTATATCAAGTCTGCACAGCAGCTGAGGCCCTGTTTCTGTTTCTCCATATTGATTATCATCAGCCATCCTTGTTGAGGGAACACCAGGCCCAGAAGCTACTGCTACTACTACTCACCGTACTGGATGAAGAATATTGCCCCTGCTCTACTACTACAGCCCTATTCACCGTACTGGGCTCAGGGTGCTTCTTTTTGCGCCTGGCACTTCAGTCGCCTTAGAGACACGGCTGTGTGAACACCTTGCCAGCATATATTTTTTTTGCGGGCCGCTTTCTGTACAAAACTGGAGGCAACCGCCGAAAAATAATCATGACATTGTCCCAAAAAAGCCAAATTTGAAATTTGCATAATTTTGTCACCAGAAGCCTTGGGCACCACTGAACCAGATTTTATGACATGATGTGTTGATTTTTTGAGCTCCCTCCTTTGGCTTTCAGTAAGGACTCAGGGTATACTCAGTGTTACTCATACTAAGGACTTTGTGGACGTATCTGGCCGCAATTTACAGTCCAACCTGGATGTATCTGACTGCAATTATGTCCAGAGCTCATTCGAAAAAAAACTAGTCTGAATATACCCTCAGAATGAAATCAATGTGGGTTCTCTCTCGTTCTTCTAGGGGGGGCGGAAATTGCAAAAATACCCGTTTAACAATGTTTCCAGGCACTTCACCACAGACTTTCGCAGCAGAAATACCTTTCCTTCCTCCCAAAATGTCATCCTTGCCCCGGGGTCATGCTCATCTCCTTTTTATAATTCGAAATTTCACGGATGCCCCTACTTTCATGCCAGAAATAACTGCGTTTGATAACAAGAATAACCCTTTCCCCGACTGTCTTTTGCTGTGAAGGTATATTTACCAGGAGACCTTTAAAAAAACGGCTATTTTCACAACCAGCCCTTTCTTTCCCAGCCTTGGGGTTGTGCCCTCAAATTCCTTGGTAGAAGAAACAATGCAAGGAAAATGAGCAACAGTGATATGACAGAATTTCAAATTGCAACATCACAATGAAAACCAGACATGCACCAAGAATCCAACCAAAGGAGACCAAAGCAAAGAACTCTTTCAAGAGGCTGTGGGCCGTGCCACATTCAAGAGGGTGTGTGGCGAGGCCCTAAGAATGCAGTCCTAGAGGTTCGAGTACTGGAAAATTCCGAAGAAATGGCTCTTCTTTCATTCATTTTTCATCTTAAAGTGTCCAGGACACCTCCTACAAACGTTTCCACATTGAATTTCGTTGTCATTATAGAGTTTCAAATATATTAGTGGAAAGTTTTGAAGAAATGACTGTTTTGTCCTGAAGTGTGTATAGGACACGTCCAAGAAACGTTTTCACATTCGCTCGTTGTCGTTTGTCTCCGCGTGGAACAACGGAAGAGCACAGTTTCTAAAACTTTCTGGAGTTCTCGAACGACACCCTAAGGTTCTCATTTCACACATACTACCTTCTTCCACCGAATACAACGTACGGTCATTATAGCTGTATTTGAGGCATCTTTCAGTCTAGATACAGCTATAATAGCCGTACGTAGTATTCGGGGGAAGAAGTTAGTATAAAAAAAACAAACCTCTCATCCTACGGTTCCTAGGATGCAAGCCTACACTGATTTCACATTCATCCTCATTTGTTTTCTAGAGCTCGTAGGTAGAACGGTGTGAACGACAAAGTCAGTGTGTCTCAGGCAACTGATTGCCAGTCACACACACCCGCACACAAGCACGCACGTCCACACATGCACCAACGTCCGCAAGCGCGAGCCAGCACACACACACGCACGCACATTCCACATTCGTACACTCGTACACTCGCGCGCACACACACACACACACACACACACACACACACACACACACACACACACGCACGCACTAACACGCACACGCCCGGACATGCATGCAAATGCACACCAATGCACGTACATATCCGAACATGGACGCACATGCACGCACGTGCACAGTCAATGACGCACATGCGCGCACGTGCACAGTCATTGACACACTTGCACGCACGTGCACAGTCATTGACGCACATGCACGGACATGCACGCACGTGGACAGACATTGACGCACATGCACGGACATGCACGCACGTGCACAGACATTGACGCACATGCACGGAGTGCCACGGACATGCACGCACTTTTATCATTGAGCGCGGTCGACAGCATGGCAATATCTGTTCCCTATACCGTGTGAGATATCTTCCGTGCCATTGATGAAGGTTGTGCAAGCCACGACAACAGCTACTCGACCTCTGGAGACAGAGGAGAGGGGGGAGGGGGGGGGAGAGGGGGGAAGGGGAGGAAACAAACGATTAGGGGTACTGTTTTTGGCGGATATCCGGTAAGACCTGACCATTTCGGTGTGCACATAGCCGAAGTCGCGGCAAAAGAGGACGAAAGAAACTGCAAAAGGAAGGGCTACTATTTAACCGCGATAGTTCTCGGAATTCTTATCTGCATGAATCGGTTTAGATCGTCGACCTTTTTAATCATTCGGATCAAAGGCTAAGTTTAAATATCCTGCCCGGTCTAGCTGGATTTGGAGCGACGGAGCTAGAGAGAGGGGGGGACAAAGCTAAAGCGACGGATCCGGAGAGATCGAGGGAAAAATCCGGAGTAACAGACGTGTCTCGATTTGCCGATCTGTTTCTCTGATAGAACTATCGATCAGTATCAACGGTAGATTTGTCGGACCCATGCACAGACATCAACGGTGTCTCGATCGACGGATCCAGATCCATCAATCCATGGAAAGGATCGTGCATCAGACATCAACTTCAGAATTGAAAGCAAATCAATCAACGGAATCACACATCAAAAGACTCATGCTTAGATGCTCAGTAAGCGTCCACATGCAAAACCTTAAACACTAACACAAAATCCGGTGGGAAATGGCACCCCGACCCCGACCGGTTTCAACGGCCGCCACGTCGTCTCATCATCAGGTTTGCAAACCCACCGATCTTCGCCCATTACCCACATATGCATATAGCTCTAGCTCTTCTCTGCAGACGATCAAACTGTCTATCTGGATCAACGAAAGATTCGCTCAACGTATCAATAATTCGATCTGGATCAGTGATTCGACCTTCTAATCAATGGATCAATGGTTGAAATCATTGGATCCATTGATCTGCGGATCAGTGATCCGATCCTTTGATCGATGGATGGTTCTATATCGTGATCAGATCCATAGAGTTCCATCCATCCATCCATCCATCCACCCATCCAAATCTATCCGTCGATCTGTGTGGATTGGTCGATGGATCCGGATCTGGATCTGCATCAATCAATCTGGGTTTTTAAAGAATCTATTAGACCCCTCGATTGATATGAACCGATCAACGGATCTGGTATTTGAATCTGGACGGATCAATGTGTCCGGATGAATCTAGATTCACTCATTTTGGGGGGAACAACACAGAAGATACGGGCACGGTGGAATCATATTTTGCCACAAATAGGCCATTGAACGTGTACCTGCCGCTAAAATTGCGGCCAAGTGCAGGGCCAGCACCGGGCGGTCTGCTGGCCGAGGAAAGCGGCCCAGTGTCATGATGATTATCTTTGTTTCACTGGCCGAGGAGAAATATATATTAATCCCCCTTTATTGATCGAGGATCGACCAATAAATCGGATCGGATTCTGCTCGTTTGGATCTATCTGACGATTGAGGATCTATTCTAATATGATCTCGACGGATTGAGAATCGTACGTTAGTACGCTCGCGCACACACAAACACACACACACACACACACACACACACACACACACACACACATGCACGCAACTCGTACGCTCGTACACTCGCACACCCATACACGCACATGCACGAACATGCACGGACGTGCATGCAAATGTACGCACATGCACGCACGTGCGCGCACATGCATGCACATGCACGTACGTGCATGGACATGAAGGCACGTGAACGCGCATTCACGGACACGTGCATGTTTGCGAATGCAAGGATATGCACGCACTCTCACACTATCGAGCACGAGCGACAGCATGGGGATATCTGCTCACTATAGCATGTGACATATCTTCCGTGCCGCTGAAAAAGGCTGTGCAAGCAACGACAACAGTTTCCCAGAACTGCTAAACTATATTCCCTACTTCTCGAAACAAAAGCAAACAAACAAACAAAAAAAAAAAACAAAAAAAACGAATGCGATACTGTTTGCGGCGGAACTCCGGTAAGACCTCATCATTTCCGTTCGCATAGATGAGGAAAGGAACTGCAGAAAAAAAAAAGGGGTACTGTTGGACCGCGAGAGTTCTTCGCGATACTTATCTGGCCGAATCGATCTGGATATCGATTCAGATCAACCGTCGTAATCATCATTCGGGTCGAGGGCTTTCTTCTTCCCCGAATACAACGTACGGTCATTATAGCTGTATTTGAGGCATCTTTCAGTCTAGATACAGCTATAATGACCTTACGTTGTATTCGGGGGAAGAAGGTAGCTGGATTTACTACATGTCTGGAYGGGTCTAGCTGGATCAAAGGCTACCGTCTTTCCCCCCAATACAATAGAACGTACGGTCATTATAGCCGCGTACTTTTTGGCTCACCTTTTAGTCAGGATGCAGCAGAAGCGACCCTACGTTCTATTCGGGGGAAGAAGGTAGCTGGTTTAAACGTCTGGACGGGTCAAGCTGGATTTGTTGAGATCTGTCGATCAATATGGATTTGGACTGACAGATCTGCAGAGATTCGTGCGACGAATCTGGACCAACGGACGCGTCTGAATTCACGGATCTGATCTCTGTCTCTGGATAGAACTCTGGATCATCAGGATCAACGGTAGATTTTGTTTGTTTGGATCGCAGCCATCAATCTGGACCTGCAACGGACGCGATCCAGATTGATGGCTGCGATCCTTCTATCCATGGAAAGGTTGTGTGCACCAGACGTCGAACGAAGGTACCTTCACAATTGGAAGCAAATTAGTAATGGTTAATAATGGAATCACACATGCACCCCCTCTGATGGGTGGAGGGAGACAACAAAGCTATGTTCGCAGGGGTCCCATGTATATAAGCCTGAGGAGTAATGGTACGTAGGTAGTGAAGGTGAATTGAAAGACTGAATGTGGACGTGTTTGTGGACAGGTGCGAAAATTTGTGA